TAACCCAGGACCACAGTCTCCTCCTACCTTTGAATCCTTCTGCTCTTCCTGCCTTACCCTGACCCTCTTCCTTCAAGACCAGGTTCCACAATGCTTGCGGAGAAGTTCTGACCACACTGAGATGGGTGACCATTTCTATTTATAACATTACTTTATAAAGAAATCTCTAAATTTAAAATTTTAACTACTTATGCTAATACTTCTTTTCTAAAATTGAAACATTAAAATTTTCAGCAAAAACACAAGGATGACTGTGCTATATCTGACAGTAAATCTATTTCACTCTACAAAGCAACTACTGCACGTTGTATTATTGTTTCATTAAACATTTGATCTTTTCTAATATCATAAGAGAAATATATGACTTTGGTTATGACTACGTGTCCAGTCATCAGTAGAGAATTGGAGATTCTGCAGCATTTGAATGCAACACTGACTTTAATTGTGAGCAATTTTGTAAAGTGTCCCACCAGTGAGCCTGAAGGACTATTCATCATCATTTCATGTGAAAACTTCTGTTAAGGAAAACTTAGTATGTTTGGTGGTTTGAACACCAGACTCCGTGTCCCTGTCTTACACCAAGATAGCCAAGTACACAAACTTCAGTTGACTACTTCCCACTTCCCAAGTCAAAACTCAACAATCATGCAGTTGGAGTTTTTCACATGGAATCTTTAATGTGTGATGGGTTTCTGGAAGGCTCCCACTCTGTGCAAAAATGAGACACAGATAATGAGATTAATTTTAACACCTGGCTCTGTCACTGTACAAACTGATACATGGGTTTTCTGTAACATCGAGCATCTTCTGAGTAGTGAGTGAGACACCCAAGGTGTAGTCCTGCTTACAGTGTAACCTGAACTTGGCCCTGTCAACCCTTTGGGGCCTCATTCCACCCTCGTGAACTTTCAGGTCATTATAACCATGCAGACCAGGGCTCATGTCCTATTACCTTTATGTAAAAGTAGGTAATGTTTACAATGTTGGAATTTCCTCAGTGATCATGCCTGAGTTTATGTTAACGAGGTGATTTATAATATATTCCTATAGTTTAAGGAGGGAAGATGGCCATACCAGAGTGTAGCTTTGAGCACAATATATCAGAGCAATATCCTGACCTTCATGGGGGTGAGGCAGATGGAGACTGAGTTTAATACCATCAATTATATTTGAGCTCCCATTTCTTAGTTCTTTTACTATTATAATTTTTTGATGGGACTGGGGCTTGAACTCAGGGCCTCACGTTTGCTAGGCAGATGCTCTACCACTTGAGCCACTCCACCAGTCCTGGACTTCCATTTCTTGAGTAAATTTCCTCTATACCAAGGTGCTGGTAGAGCCTTGTAGCCTGAGAATAGGGAAGCTGCAAGCCTGGAAACTCCCAGAACTAGACCTCAGTGTCTCTTAAACTGATTTGTCCTCATCTGTATCCTTTATAATAAAGGATGCTATTCTCAAGAATAGTGCTTTATTAGAATTCTGTTACAAATTCGGAATTACCAAACCTATGGTGTCTGTGGGAACTCCTTAATTTGAAATGGTGGGTCCCCTGAACTTGTGATTGATGTACAAGTGGGGAGGGAGAGAGAGGGGCAATAATATGAAGGATTGTGCACACAATCTGTAAGATTTGACATCAATGCAGGTAGTTAGCATCAGATATGCAATTTTAGATCAATTCCAGCTGACGTTTCTGAACTGCAAATGAAAAAAATTCAATCTGTAGTGAGCAAAGCCCCAGACACACAGCAAGCTCAAAGATGGAGACAGCACTGCACTATCAATGCACCTGTGCACAGCTGTATAACCTGGAGAGTCAAATTCCCTAAGGATACATGTCCATGTATAAATTCACATGTACCAAATACTTCTGAGAAATACTTGCACACAGGGGAACATTTATACTGAATTAACTTCCCAAAGTACTTGGGATGGTAGAAACTCTAAAGACAGGTCAGGAGGTTGCCTTTGAAGTATGAGGATAGTAGTGAACAAGGAGGCTAGGCAGTTAGCTGAAATTAGATGGTATAGCTAGTACAGAAAAATGCCTGAAAAAGTCCATTATGACCTCCCTGTGGCCTTAAAGGGCAGAAAGAAGGAAAAGCAGGAAGAACCAAAATGAGGACACTATAACGACTACTAGGATTTTCAAACACTCCCCCCCTTCCCACAAGTATAAAGGGCACAACCAATTAGCATAGAGATTGACCAAGCTCTGAGGAAAATGGATAAAAACCTTAGACCATGTCACTTCTCTGACAATGCTCTCTTGGGACCCCTGCTAGCTCTGGGGGCTCGACTCTGCTATTTTTCTATCTCAATAAACTCTTCTACTTTAACTCACTCAGGTTGTCCATGATTATCATTCTTTGACATTGGAAGACAAAGAACCAGAGTTCAGACAAAGCAAGTTAGCAACAAAACTACCCCCACCAGTAGTTAAGGACAGACGACCTGCCAGGTGACAATGACTCTGGATAACAACTTCTCCAGAACCCTGAAGAATAAGGACTGAGATAATGACCAACCAGGCCACACCTGTGACTAGGACTGTTCATGCGTACTTTTTGTGATTCTTTGCCTATTTAAAGCTAAAGTTCTTATCTGTACCCTGAAGATGGCTGAAGAATGGGCTGAGTGCTTACTTTGCCTCTTCCCTCAGCATGTCCCAAGCTGTGAAATAAATCTCCTTCTCTGCCCTTCGCCATGTCTCTTTATTTGGCGTATAGGGGCAAATGGTCAAACCTGACATGTGGAAGCGCAGGAGTTTTGGCTTGGGGTCCAAACTCTAGTTTCATTTTCTCAAACACAAGTTTGTGACTGTTGTGGCTATGTGTTGCATGATCAAACCCAAATCTGTGATTGCTTATGGGAAGATCAGCTCCAAGTGAAGATGTTTTTCCATCAGGATATGAAGTAAAGTGTTCCTGAGAATCACTGCTCTACAGTTGTCTTATGCTGCCTGGCCAGGGTGCCAAGGTAATTACGTTTCCAGGAAGTAATGCTGACCTCAGAGAATAAGCTGGAAAGTACTCACTCCTCTTTACACACACACATTTTCTCCTGTTCGTTTTTCCCAAATCATTTTCAGCTTTTTGAAAGAGTTTATGAAAATTCAGTTTATTTCTTCCTTAAGTTTTGGACAAAATTCACTGCTATCTTCATCTGGGCCTGGGTTTCTCTCTCAATCTCCCTTCTTCTCTCTTTTCTTTCTCTCAGAGGTTACTAGGAATTAAACCTAGACCAACTGCTCCCCAAGCCCCCAGTTTTCCTTATGGGAAGGTTTTATTTAAGTACAGTTTCTACAATTTCAATGTATTTAAAAGACGTAGGGCTATTCAGTTATCATTTCTTCTTGAGTGGACTCTGGCAATTTATGTTGTTGATGGACCTTGTCAATTTCATCATGTTGATTTACTGGCATAAAGATGTTCCTAATATTCCCTTAGTAGCCTTTTGTATTTGCAGGGTCTTTCTCTTTAGTGTGTGTCAAGTCACCTGTCTCACACCTTATATATGGTATATGGTAATTTTCTTTTCTGATCAATTCCTGTTGGAGATTAATCAGTTTTATTGATTTTCACCAAGATGAGCTTTCTGATTCATTGATTTTTCTGTAATTTTTTTCTTTAATCCCCACTTTACTCTTTATTATTATTCTTATATGTCTTAACTTTGAATTTAATTTGCTCTTTTTCTAGTTTCCTAAAGATCACTAATTTGAGGCTTTTCTCTTTTTTTATTGGCAGTGTTGAGTTTGAACTCAGGACTTCATGCTTATTAGGCAGGTTTTCTAATACTTGAACCACACTTCCAGCCCTTTTTGCTTTAGTTATTTTTCACATTTTTGCCCAGGGCTGCCTCAGACCACAATCCCACTACCAATGCCTCTCTGAGGAGCTGGAATCACAAGGTTGTACCACACCGACCTTGTTTATCGTGATGGGGGTCTCCTTAATTGCCTCCTGCATCCATAAACCACCATCCTCCCGATCTCTGTCTCCCAAATAACTGCAATCATAGGCATTTGCCACCTGGCAGTGCATAAAATGAACTGATTTTTTTTGTTCTTTGCAGTACTGAGGCTTGAACTCAGGGACTCGTGCTTGTTAGGCAAAGGGTCTATCACCTGAGCCACACCTCCAGCAAAATACATTTCCCTTTTGGTTTTTTTGTGTGTGTTTGTGAGGTACTGGGGTTTGTACTCAGGGTATCGGGTGTTCTACAATTTGCAACATCCCCTAGCTCTGCCTTTCTGCTGTTAGAATAGTTAATGCTGTTAGTTTCCCTCTGGGCACTGCTTTAATGACAATCCACAAATTCTGCATTATTTTATGTTTTCATATGCTTCTAATTCCCCTTCTCTGGCCTATGAGTAAAGCGGGCTTCCATAAATTTGGGTATTTTCCAGGATCTTTTTGTTACTGACTTCTAACTTAATTTTATTATGGCCAGAGAATATACTGTGTATAATTAATTATTTTATGTTTTTAATGAGTTATAATATGGTTTATCTTCACAAATGCTCCATGCATACTTGAGAAAATTTTGATTTCTGCTTTTTTAGGGTGGAATGTCAGATAGCTATCAGGTCAAGCTGGCAGATACTGCTATTCAAGTCTACGATATTCTTATTTTTATGTGTGTGTGTGTGTGTGTGTGTGTGTGTGTGGTCTTTTTTTCTGTCTACTTTATTCTTGCTGATTTTCTTCTTGCCCATTTTATGAATTTTGATAAGAGAAAGGTATTAATATCTCTGATAAATGTACATTTGTCTATTTCTCCTCACAGCTAATTCGTTTTTGCTTCATGCGTTTTGAAGCTTTTCAGATAATGGATATGCATCTTGTATTGAGTGGCTATTAAACCAATGCTTGACCTTATACTTCAGTTATGGTATTTTTCACTGCCAGACATCTGTTTGGCACTTTTTTACTAAGCTACTGGGATATTTTTGTGCCCATACTCTCTAATTCCCCTTATTTATGTATAAAACATACCTTATATTGCTTGGATTTTATCTTGTCTTTGTAGCTATGCATTTTTCTATCCATTGTTTCTGCAGGTTTCAGTCTATTTTATGTGCTGAGAGTTTTGGCTAACTTTTTGGCGGTACTGCAGTTAGAACTCAGGGCCTTGAACTTGCTACCCCAGTGCTCTACCACTTGAGCCATGCCCCCAGCCTTTTTCTCTTGTTATTTTTCAGGTAGCATCTTGAACTTTTGCCTTGGTATCTTCCTACCTGTGCCTCCCATGTCACTGGGATCACAGACACACACCATCACTCCGGGCTTACTGATTGAGGTTGGGTCTCCAGAGATTTTTCCCTGAGCTGGCTTCAAACTGCTGGGGTGACAGGCATGGCCCACTGCACCTAGCTGTGTTGCAATTTTTAAAATTAAGACCTTATGTCTGTTGAAACTGTCTCTGAGTCCTTCAAAGATAATCTGCTTTTCTTCTGCCAGTCATCTGGAAGGAACCAAAACCTTGACATGACTTTACATTTTTACCTTGAGACTTTTTTCCTCGGTTGTACTGGAGTCTGAACTCAGGGCCTCATGCTTCTTAGGCAGGTGCTCTACCACTTAAGCCACTCCTCCAGCCCAGCTTGAGACTTTTTTGACTGTCCTGATTGTGTGAGCAAATCAACTTTAAGGATGACTTGTGGTTATACATATACTCTTAGTGGAGATGTTTCTTTAGATGGAAAATCATTCTTGCCGTTCTGGGGACATTGGGAAGCTGCAGAGAGGACAGGAAGGCAGAGATTTATTCATAATTCATCATTGATGGAGAGGAACTACAATTTCGCCTCCACCCTCATTATTTCACAGTTGGGACCAATCTCTATAACAAAAGAGATAACAGAAGAAACACAAGTTCATTAATGTGTGCAGTTCACATCGCATAGGAGAATCCTCAGTGAAAGGTAACTCAGAACAGTGGCTTAAAACTCTTGGCTTATATAGCATCTCCAACCAAGAGTTATACAGTTTTAGAGGAGTGACACGAGAAAAAAAATGAATTTAAGTTGTCATCAGTGATTAACCATGATTCCCATCTTGGTAGTGGGGGAGCGTAATGCCTTTTATCTTTTAAATCTGTGTCTGCCTTTGGACAAATAGGGGACATATACTTCAGCCTCATCACCTTCAGTACAATAATACTCCATACTTTGGGAAGATACATTCTGTTTCCCCCACAACCTTTACCTTAAGTCTATTCTTTCAGACTTCCTCCTCATGAGCTTTCAATTTCTCTACCTTGAGCAGGTGTTTTTCTCACCCCAGGCTGAGAACAACAAAATTCAGTGTGACATTTGGAAATATCTTACAGGTGAAAAGAGGTGTGTCTGTTGCTTTCGAATAGTTGAGACCAAAATAACTGACAGAAACAACCTAAGGGACGAAAGGTTTTTTTGGTCCAGAATTTTAGGGGTTTTAGTCCAGCATGGCAAGGAGCATGTCATAAAGCAGAGTAGCTCACATCACGGTGGTCAGAAAGCAAGAGAACAGGACTGCAAAGGGGCCAAGGCAAGATATGGCCCCCCAGGCCACACCCCCACTGACCTACTTCCTCCATCTAAGCTCCACCTGTTACCACCTCTCATTAATGCCATCACGTTATCAATCATTAATTAGATCACAGCCCTCATGGTCTAATCCTCTGTGGAAACACCATCACAGACACACCCAAACATGTACTTTACTAATGACCTAGGCATTTATTAATCCAATCAAATTGACAGAATTAACCTTCATAAGTGACATTGGTGCAGTAGTTACTTCTTCGGGGTTCCTACTTCTGTTTTCGAAGGTTTTTTTTCACCTTGGTAGACTCTATAGTTCATTAGTACATCTTAAAAAGGGCTCTTCTGGTTAGCAGATGTGAAACCCTAAATTCAAACCCCAGTTCCAAAAAAAGGGTAGGGATTTGATATGTACTCCAGAAGTTTTGTTTTCCACTAGTCCTTATCATAATGGGGTAGAGCTGGATGAGAATTTCCTACCAAATGATAGCTGACTCTAGGACAACTAAGTCATCACATCCATGATAAGATGTATGGTGGAAGCTCTTCCCTCAGCACTCATTTTCCTCCTTGGACTAAGGACTGCATACTTTAAAACCCACATGCACTTGAGAGATACACTCTTTGGGAATAGCTCTTGGCTTTTCACTGGTGTCCTCTGCAGTAGTGGCAGGTATGTATGTGACCATGGATTCAACCACGGTTCCCTGTCTGGTTTTCTAAGACATCAAGAAAAAACCAAACTGTATAAAGTGTACAGCCTGGTCTGATCTTCATAGCGTTTTCTTTTCTCTAATTGCAGGTATTCCTCACAACATTTGGAAGAGATGTGTATTCGTCCACGTGGTAAAGAAATAACTTACTTTCTAGACAATACTCATTCTGAGGTCTTGCTGAGAAGGGTTGGGGGGTTCAATGAAAGAAAAGAAAAGAATTTTTCTAGTATAGAATGGAGGCTCCAGGGAAAGTCTGTGAACCAGAGGAAAGACAAAGTTGATGTGAGCCATTATTGCTTCACTTGTTACAGGCAGGAATAGAGAAGCCACCCTCTCTATTGATTTTCCTCCAGATGTGCAGCCTGTGGGAAATGGCACTGGAAAGCATCAGTAGTGATGAGGAAATTCCAGGTAGGTAAAAGCATTCCAGGAAACATACAATTTATAAAGAATGAGGTAACTTTAATTGTTCTACAAAGGTATCATTTGGAAGGAGATTCCAACTCAACTTCTTAGTTTCTGGCCAGAATGCCAGAATGAGGTCATTTTTTTCCAACTTGTTTTTGACTTTTTACATACATTTTTGACTCAAACCAATAGTAAAAATAAATAAATAAACATGAAGTCCTACTTACACAGACACATATAAATAATAATACACCTGTGATCCCAGCATTCAGGAGGCTGAGGTATAGGACCACAGGTTTTAGCTTGGGCTACATAGTGAAACCCTGTTTCAAGAAAAAAAAAAAAAAAAAAGGCTCACCAATGAACCTCTAGTAGCAGTTTGAAAAATACTAAAGACAACAACTCAGTGATTTGTGAAAACATGTCAAGATTCATTGTAGCCTAAGTGGACCCTTCAATCTAAAAATTAAATGGGCATCTAATATATACCATGTAAATTGCATTAAACTTAGTTAGAATATTACTATCTAATTTTGGAACATATGGCTATTATTTATTCTTGTAAACATACATATCATATTGAAAGTCAACTAAAGTATGTAACACTAAGCATAATAAATTTCTTTTCCCCACTAATTCACTTACATATTTGGGTTGCCTAATAGTAGTGAGATACTGTGCCAAGCACTAAATAGATCATGAGGAATGCATGAAACTTACAGTCTGTGTGTCATGGATTGTATGATTTCAATTTCAAAATTATGATCATGTAAACAATGAATGTATAATGTCAGAAGAATAGAGAAAGAGCTGAAAACACTGCTCTTTGAAGTCAACTACAGTAAGTTTGGTCTGTCTGTATATAGCTTTAATCACCTAACTCCTGATGAGGCCTCTTAGCTCAGTGCTTCTCAGCCTAAGCATTTCTGACATTTTGGACCAGACAGTTCTTTACATGAGTAGCCTTCAGGTGCACAGATGTTTAGCAGCATCCATGGCCTTTACAGATACCACAGCTGTGGTAACCAAACGTGGCTCCAGGCATTACCAAAGGTGCTGTAGGAGAACTCTTGCCCAAATCCAGCCTTCTTTTCAGGGTCACTTCCACATTTCTAGTAATGACATTCTAGGTAATTCTGCCTGCATGCTCTAACATCCTCTTTAAAGAAAAACACTTTAAGCCAAGTGCTGGTGGCTCATGCCTGTAATCTATGTACTCAGGAGGCAGAGATCAGGAAGATCGAGGTTTGAAGCCAGCCTGGACAAATAGTTTGAGAGACCCTATCTCGAAAAAAAATCACAAAAAAGGACTGGTGGAGTGGCTCAAGGCGTAGCCTGAGTCCAAACCCCAGTACTGCAAAACCAAACACACACCCTCTAATCAGAATTAATATTCTCTCTGATTATCACAAGATCAGAGGATAATGTGAGAACTAACGTCACCAGACTTATCTGAGGATGAGTTTATAACCTGAAGAAATTTCTTATATTGGGTTTAAATAGCCCTAAAATACACGATTCCTGAATTCTTTTTTTTTTTTTTCCTTTTTAGCAGTACTGGGGTTTGAACTCAGGGCCCCATACTTGCTAGGAATTCCTGAATTCTAGTTCTGTGTTTGTTTGAAAAGAACTCTGACTCAATGCTACCTATTTCTGATGATGGTGCTATTGCTTAGATCCTAAGAATGTACTAAAGCGTCTCAGTGGATTCACTTTTTCTCTATTCTGAAAAACCTGTTCAAACCTTCCTCTCCTCTCATCAAATTTATCACAATACCTTGTAAATGATTCTAAATAATTCTCAGAGCACGGCTCATTCTAGCCACTTTTCATTTCCATTCCTATTAATGTTCCCACCTCCAACCCGAGGCCCATCTACGTTTAGATCTACTTCATATTTGTATATCTGTACTATAGTCAAATTGTTCTGTATACTCTCTTCATCCTTTAAATTATACAGCACACTACTACTAGATTCTTAAAACACCAATATTGTTCCTGTTCCTAAATGTTAAATGATCCAACTCTAGAGAATATATTTTAGATTGTGTTATGGACCAAATTCCCCAAAATTCGTTTGTTGAAGCCATTACTCCAAAATGATGCTCTTTGGAAATTTGGCCTTTAGATTTAGATGAGGTCATGAAGGTGGGGCCCTCATAATGGAATTGGTGCCTTTAAAAAAAGAGACACCATCCTGTTTCATCTTCCCCTCTCCCACAATATGAGGACATAGCAATCGGTCACACTCTACCAGATGGAAAGAGAGCTCTCAGTGGGGAACCAAATTGGCTAACACCTTAATCTCAGATTCTGAACCTCTAAAAAAAAAAAAAAAACAACTTCTGGAGATTTTTAAAATTTGTTTTGTCGCTAGTACTGGTACTAGGTTTGAACTCAGGCATATATATAACTTAAGTTATATTCCAATTACACTGATGGACTTTCAGTCTGCTGATTAAGCTTGGATTTTTGGATGGTGTCCATACTCTGAATCTAACAACATATTCAATGTGAAAAATGAAAAGTGGCCAGGTGCCAGTGGCTCACATCTGTAATCTTAGTTACTCAGAAGGCAGAGATCAGGAGAATCTTGGTTTCAGGCCAGTCTAGGCAAACAGTTCGTGAGACCCTATCTCAAAAATATCCAACACAAAACAGGGCTGGTGGAGTAGCCCAAGTGGTGCCTGCTTAGTAAGAATGAGGCCCTGAAAATTAATGCGAGTCAACTCCCTGTATAGCTATCCTTATCTCAACTAGCAAAAACCCTTGTTCCTTCCTATTACTGCTTATACTCTCTCTTCAACAAAATTAGACATAAGGGCAAAACAGTTTCTGCCGGGTATCGAGGGGGTGGGGGGGAGAAGGAGAGGGTGGAGTGGGTGGTAAGGGAGGGGGTGGGGGCAGGGGGGAGAAATGACCCAAGCATTGTATGCACATATGAATAATAAAACAATAAAAATTTTTTTTAAATGAGGTCCTGAGTTCAAACCCCAGTACCACCAAAAACAAAGAAAAATGTAAAGTGAAGCAAGAATCAGGAATAAAGCTAGGAAGTTATATGAGTGAGTTCACTCAGAAAAATAATA